ATTTCGATCATGGATTACAAAAAATTCTATTATGGGTTGCAAAAAACCAAAAAATTCGATCATGGATTACAAAAAAAATCTATCATGGATTAACCAAAAAAAAAAAAAAAAAAAATTACCGTACGGAATCGCCGATTCACTGTTCGGACTCGCCGATTCCGTACAGTGAATCGACGATTCACTGTACAGAATCGTCCGGTTCTCTCTAGAACCGGACGATTTCCGATTTTTGAGCGATCCGGTTCCTTTTTCACTATTTCCGAGTCGAACCGGGCGAGTCCGGTTCGACTCGGCGTTTTTTAAAACGCTGCTTTGAATACAAAAGGAAACAAGGAAAAAGAACCCACAAGTTACACCTCTCCCTAAATAATGTTTCCTCTCTCTCTCTCTCAAACACAAGTAACTCCCATAAATCTCGCCTATTCACATAACGTCCAACCCATGAAATAGGAAAAGGATATCTATGAGTCACGTGATCATCCCCTCCATGCTTACTTTTTTGTAATGCTACTATACTTCCCCACAAGGAAAGTAACCATAAAGAAAATCAAATTTATCCTTTTGTAATGCTACTATAATTCCCCACAAGGAAAATAACTATATAAAAAAATCAAATTTATCCCAAGTAATAAAAGAAAGATCAAGAAAATCCGAAAGAAATTAGAACCTAGCATTTCCCAATCATTAAATCAAAGTCCCTTTTAGCCCCCATAACAATAATTAAAGCCAACCAAAAATAAGATACTCATCCAAGTTCTAGAGTTCAACAAACAAATCATCATCATCATAACCTTTTCTTAATTAATTGAGGTCGTCTACATGAATCTTGATCCTTCATTCTCCTCTATTATAGGTCATATCCTCAGTGAGGCTAGCTCAACAAACAAATAAAATCCAATTATGCCATTTTCCTAGCTCAATTTGTATCATCCTCCCAGCGTTGGAAGAAGCTTGATCTCGAGTTTAAAAATTCGAACTTGAATCAATGACTATCCATGTCATCACTATGCAGGTGTACCTCTGGATCTCCTTCTTAAATTTCACTGGCTTAGTTAGCCAAGTGTACATCCATCCTTCTTCATGGGCACCTTGTGTCCAGTCTCATTATACTAATGACAAGTAACTTTGGAGGAATCCTTATTCTTTTCGTTAAGTTTTGGATGATGTGAAACCTTCTTTTAGGTGAGAAAGCATTTATCAATGCTCTATTGTCATTAGAATCCACTTGTAAAGCAATTTGAAAAGCTTTGCATAAGGTCCATGGCTAGAGTAGAAAGACTTCATTTCTAACAGTTGATTGGAGCCCATTTACATAACGAGCAACATTTTGTCTTTTAATCTCTCAGAGGTTGTTTAGAACCACAAGTCAATAAAATTCCCCAGTATAACCATCTACGTTATTTTCATTCTACCAAAGATTTTGGAGGTCTACAAAGAAAAATTGCACTCATGAACCACATGAAGAAAATTTTCTTTCAACTTTTTTATTTTTTATTTTATATTTTTTTGCCTATCAAAAATTTTTCTATTTTCATTGCAAAGATGGGATTGTTGAACTTGTTCCCAACAAGCTGCAGAATTCCTACGGAGCATGGGTTCAACAAGTTTAACTTTACGTTCTTTTGGCAATTTATTTCATTCCAAAAAACCTTTCAACTACACTAACGTAATTAATAAAACCTTTTATATGGATTTTACCATTAAACTCAAGGAGATCAACCTTAATATCGAGATCTTGTAGACGATATACACGACGTGGATTCTGTCTACAAATTTGTAAGTTACATTCAGGATCAGCATTGAGTTAGTTATGGGACTAGATTCGTTTCTAGGATGAAATTTGGCACCACACCCATGTGGTTGCAAGCACCATCTGCTCAATAAAACGGTATTTTCTAACCATTGCAACCACTGATTCAATACCCGCTCTCTATTCAAATATACTCTATGGATTGATTTATGCTCTTTATGCTCTCTTTGAACTGTTGTTTCACAGCTTCCGTAATATGTGGGAAGTAGATCTTTAATAACAGGAGTAGGTTTTGGAGCATTGTGATAGTTGGATCTTGTAAGCTTTGATACCACTTGATGCAGAAGGAAGAGAGAGAACGAAAAATAAGCAGCACAAAAAAAATAATCAATAAGAGAATGTACCCTCTCTAAGAATCTGCAAGGGAATCCATCTTAAAGATCTCTTCATAAGACCTAAATGATAAATTCTATCTCTCAAAATAACCAAGATCTCAAAGGAGGATATCCTTCCATCAGTGTTCCAAAAAGCGGACCGCCCTAGGCAGATCTAAGGGCCTGGGTGCATCACCCAGGCCTAGGCGCCCTAAAAAAGCGGTCGTCCCTAGGCACCTGCCTAGGCACCCAAGAAACTTCCTAGGCGGCCGATCAGCGCCCAGACTTGGGCAGCCGCCCAAGGGACTGCGCCCTGTCCAGAGGCAAAAAACAGTTTTCAAATGGGCATTTTTTGTCTTTTTTTCTTATACTAAAGGGCCAAAAATGGGTGTTTTAGGTCCATTTGAAACCTAAAACATATTGGCGCCCATTTTACAGAGAGAAAATCCCCAAAAAACAGTTTTTTGGTGATTTCTTTAGGATCGAAGGGTTTCTCAAAGTTATGAGAAATTGATCAAAACATCACCCATTGATATTAGATGTAATTTCTTATATTTATAAATCTATTGGGTGGGTTTTAAGAAGATTTTGAGTCCTTAGAAGCATCCTTGAGGTGGAAGTTTGGAGATTGAGTAATCAAACTCAAATTTAGTGATTTTTTTTATTGCTTGTATAAATTGCATTACTTTGAGATGTCTTCTTCGGGATCTAATAAGAGTGGTAATCCCAGTTGGAAATATGGCTACAACCCAGATCCTAATGATAAAAATTACATAAGATGCAATTTTTGTGAGAATAATACAAAAGGGGGCATAAACCGGTTCAAGAAACAACTTGCCGGTATCAGGGGGGATGTTGCCCCATGCAAAAAGACTCATGATGCTGTTAAAGAGGAAATAACCATTTATTTTTTATATGGTAAAAATGAAAAAAGATGAGAGATTTGCCTCTATAGCAGAGATCAGGTCTGGGGTTCGGGTCAATTATGATGATGATGATAGTAATGAGGATGGGATTGGGGAGGGATGTAAAGAGGTAGAACAATCCATTATTAGGGAAAAGGGAAAGGGAGTTATAATTTCTTTTGGTTCTGGTTCTGGAAGTAAGAAGCCTCAGGTTAGAGGCCTTTGGATAGTTTTTTGGAGATGGAGCATTGAAATTTCAAAGTCCTATAGGGATTTTCTTCATCATTTATAAGAAAATTAGCCACA